GGGGGGGGTGGCCGGGCCAGTTCACTACGCCGTTATGGCGCCAAGTGTGTCCACCATCACGCACGCAGTGAAGTTGGGAGCAGACGTCCATTTGGGATACCGTCCCAAAACTCTAGCAAAGTGGGGAGAGCGAGTGATCATTGAGATGTGCTACGATGGCCCGATCACGGCTCTACACTGGGCTCTCCTATGGCGGAAATATGAGGCAGCCAAGCGACTGGCGATGAACCGTACTTGCTGGGTCCAAGGACCTGGTGATGATGCATCAAAAAACACCTGGTTGAAGGTTATGGTGGAAAGCTTCAGCAACGGCACATCCCGACAAATCGGATTTGATGAGTCGAAATATGTCAAAATATTCTCGCGCAAGAGCAGCAATCTGCGTTCCGCACACTTACAACTCCTGATGGACAATTTTCAGGATTTCCTTCCGGAACTTGTCCATTTGACCTGGCGCGTTGACTCGCCGTTCACTTTGCAAGGGCACGACCACAGGCTATCAGAGATCCAAAACGCTTTCTTCTACGCCTGTCAAATTCCAGACTTCAAAGAAGAAGCATTGGACCATTTCAAACATGAGCTGTTCAAGATCATGGAGCTGGATCCTCACCAAGGACTCGACGCGACTCGGCACTTGCGTTATTTATATACCGCGGCGGAAAAGAGCCTCTGCCTTCATCAAGACACATATCCCACTGAAGTCCGTTGCTCCTTTGGTACAATGGCATTGTGCTTCACACTTAGCAACATGTTTCGTGGCTCCGAAGACAAGATGCTCCAGCGAGTACGCTGGCTTCTAAACGCAGGCGCAAGGCCAACATCTCTCGCCAGCCATTCTCCCCTCTGATCTGTCTCTTCAACCGGATCAGAGCCGACGACGTTGAATACGGGGATGATGAATTTGATGATATCAGGGGAGGAACCCAAGACTTCCATGAACGGTCATTATTTGGTTTCTTGCCCATCATCGAGCTGCTTGGGGAGAAAGGTGCCTGGAATCCTTTCCATGATGCCAGGATCGAGGGTATGTTGCTTGTTCTTGCAGCCTACTGCGGGATGATCTCCCAATTGAAAAGGAGCTCTCCGATATTTGCAGGTAAATTTCATCGCCGGGTGTTAGAAAAGATGCCCCCTGAGCTGCGAACAATAGTAGAGGTGAGTAAGTCGACGTTTGCCAAAGGAAAGGCCTGACGTCTTGCTGTTATTGGGAATCAAAGGGAATACCTCATAGTTCCAGTATGCTCTGTCACAAAGGCATATATTAACAGATAGAAAGGGGGCGAAGAGGCTCAAGCTGAAAGCTGTGTTTATAAAATTTCTCGTTTAGCCAGAATCATGTACGAAGACCTGGTGGTCACCGTTTGACCCGGAACTTATCATTCATCATCAGCAACGCTTGGGGTTCAGATGGCTGGTTGCATTTTCTTCAGTTATGACGACTGAATTGATTACTCAGACATACAGCCTAATTTTCCTTGTTTCCCCGTGACTATGTTGTCTCAGACCTCCATTACTTCGTGCTCCGTGGACCGTTATTGCCCTCGTCTAAGTTTTTCTCTGTGGGAGACAACCGTAAATACTGGGTCTTGTATATATTATCAAGGCTCCAAACAGCTGTTTGCTTGGTCCTTTTAGTCGCATAAAATACTGAGGCGGCGACAACCTCAAGTCATTTGAACATCACCCGAATGTTCTGACAATCAGGTTCATGACGCCATCTCAGTTACGAGGTATGCGCAGAGCTGAGCCATATACTCCACAACCACCGGCGGAAATCGGCGGCTTCCGAAAACTCAGAATTGAAATTACAAATTTAGAGTTCCGACATTTTTAGTTCCTTCATCGCTCCAAGAACAGATTGAAGCATCCTAACACACTCTTCGATAGACTTTGACGAAGCAGACATGGCACAGCCTAACAGTCCTCAGTCGATACAAGCGATTCTAGCAGACAAAACGTGGTTCGGTTTTGACCTTGATGATACTTTACACGAATTCCGACGCGCGTCTTCGGCCGCAACCGCGAAGACACTTGAGGCAATATCTGAACAGCATGGACTCCCTACGGACGCCTTGAAGGAGGAATACTCGAATATTCTTCGCGACAAAACTCTGAATGCCTTCTCAGATGGCAAGACCTCATTTGAGTACAGACGAGAGCGTTTCACGACCTTATTAGAGCGCTTTTCGATCGCTCAGGACGTTGAGTTGGTTGATCGGCTCCTTGAGATATACGAAGATGCTTTGACACACTCATTGCAACTCAAAGACGGTGCTTTGAGCCTTTTCGCAACTTTGAAAGAGAAGGGCAAGAAGGTGGCTGTGATTACTGAGGGGCCACAAGATGCACAAGAAAGGACGGTGAAACAGCTCAGATTGGCGGGATATGTCGACTTCCTAGCCACCACCAACTTCTTCCGAGTTTCCAAGACTGAGGGTCTATTCCTAAGAGTTTTGGAGCACCTGGGCATCCAACCTTCGGACATGGTTTACATCGGAGATAACCCAGTCCGCGATACGGTGCCAGCGAGGGAAGCAGGTATCTTTTCCATTCATTACAACGAGCAGGCAGAAACCTCTTTGGAGGGGCTGTCGCCACAGGTGAAATCGTTGGCGGAGATTGAGGCCTTCTGTGATATAGCCTCATAGATCTTCTAGGATCTCGGATCAATCGGAGGATGAGAAGTCTCGGTATACACTGGCCATGTTTCTCTATTGAAATATGTAATAGCTAGCGATTGTGACTTGTGTTGAGTTCCAACGCCCCCTCAATGAAGCTGTCCAGAAACGCAAAATCAAGGTTTTCAAAGTTCCAGTCAACCTCGGCTGAATGATATCTCGGCAATCCCGATTCATCGATGTCAACTCTGTCAAGGCCGTGGGACGGGCCTTCAACAGTCACCGGCATGACCTGTACCACATTTGGGTCACCCCAATCCTTTGGCCTTCGGTCACATCCACATCCATGTCCTAGGTCTTCATGTTGACAATCGCCCGTTTTCTCTCGGTCGGGATCAGCTTTCTGTGGTATTGGTGTGTTGGGGGTTTCGTTTTGGATCTTTATGGTCGGCAGATGAGGCAAACAAATTTCCAAAACGGTGTTGCTATGCGTCAAAGCCGCATGGCTTCCGAAGTCTTCCCCACGCTTTCGTATTTCTGGTGAGAACACAACGGTGTACCTTCCTCCCGACATGGCATCTTCATCAATAGCCAGGAGATACCGAAGTAAGGTAGTCACCCGCTTAGCAATTGCATCGTCGTTTATATCAACAACACCTTGCATGATCGCCAGGGTTTGCTCTAAAAGCCCTCGATCACTCAGCCGTTGATGTGCCGTAAAGGAGGAAGCGTCTTGGGCTACTGCGCAGCGGCTGCCACCGTTTAGATAGGCCAGTAGTAGGGTTGTGCAGGGTATGAAGGTGACTAGGTCTATGCCTCGGCAGTAGTAGCGCGTTGTCTGAGACGCGCGAAAAGACACGTATCTGGAGAGAATCTCGCGACTTGCTGTAACGGCGACCATTTTGTTATGGCAGTTCTCTTTCTGGGTCGTCGAACCGAACATATGAGGCAGATGTAGTTGCAAGAGAATATGGTAGTACATGAAATGGTTGTTGAAGCGCAGAATTTCGCGAACCTTGTCCGACTGGCTAGTGCACGAGATCAAGTTCGGTGATACCCAGAACTGAGGCGGCATCGCGGCAGAAGCATCTTGCAACAACTTGTCTACTTCTTGAGTGAGACTGGCATCATGTAGTTCGGAGGCGCTTCGCTGCAATAACCGTCCGCATGCTACACAGCACAGGCGTAGCATTCGTTCAAGGGGCGAGCATCTTTCGAGAGCCTGGGGAGTAGCAAAGGTATTCTGGACTGAGCTTTGTGGCAGACCAAGCATCAGAGCGATGTAACGGTCAAACTGGACGATTCGAAACCACATATCGTCCGAGTCGACAGAGAATCCAGACAAGGACAAGGGCGCAATGCAACGATCGAGACCGAGCATTTGCGCGATTGTCACGGCTCTGCGGGCGGCCAGCCAAGACTGACGAAGATCGCCCGTGTAGTTTTTGAAGAGAGCTTCAAGAAGAATACACTCGATTCCTTCGAGGGAGGCAACTAACTCGTCGTTACTAGTGACCAGATCGTGAGCCGTTGACACCGCCCGAAACATGATCGCTTGGTAGGGAGTGCTAAGGCTGTCTAGTTGATTTGAAGAAGACTCCGGAATTCCTTGAAGGAAAGTTGCTAGTACCAAGAGTTTGCGTGCCACAAGTGTAGGATGGCATCCCTCTGGCGGTAGTTGCAGTAAGACTTTCAGCGACGGAATGGTTGAGCCATTTGAGTCTGCTCTGGCGCATGTGACTGCGCGGATGACCTGAGATGTCTCTACAGGCATACCAAGAAGAACATCCATATCACTTTTGCAGGGCCAAGCAGCCAAAAGACGTTGCGATAAGGCACCGTGCAACACTGGGTGCTCATTCCCCGTGACGTCTTCGCTCTGGTTTGTGGCTGGTTGATATGGAACTCTGTTGCATGGGTTCTCTTGAGAAATTAACTAAATTCCTGTCAACATGGCTACGTAGTATTGAGGTATATCCGGACAACCCACTTGTGAGACGGGCTGTGAAAGCGGTGTGGAGGTTTCGATACCAGGAGGTTCAACCAGTGATTCCTCACTGTCTGACCCGTTTCTGTTGCTCCATTGGTGTAATTCTGCTGCAAGGCTTTTCGGACTTGGACCTAGATGGCCATCTTGGCGAGCAGCAGCTTTGAGTAGCTGAGTCACTAGGGCTTCGACATGACCCAGCCTGTCCACGATATGCTTGTTGCTTCCAGGTGGAGGGGGCTGGTCTGTGACCTCCTGACTGAGGCAGTCGACTCCACGGCGCTTGCAACTATCACAAGTCTCCGGCGTATCGGCGGAGAAGGTGCATCGGGCCTTGCGCCGCTTGCAGTCCCAGCAGCTTTGAGTGCCCTTCCGCAATTTCCGGCGCTTCGGAGTTGGGCCGGTAGATTCGGCCAACGAGGAGGGTCGCCGTAGCACGGTACTTTGCTCCATTTTCCAAGTAGTCGGTGATTCCGGTATGAGGATCGAGATGGATAGTATCGACGCGACAATCCATGGAGACGAGGAGACACCATGGCCTGAGTAGTCCTTTGTCTGCCTAATGCATGTCAGAATTAGTCATCAAGTCCTAGACCGGGGCCGTTCCGCCGGTATTTCGGCGGTGGGATTAAGCCCCGGGAATATCGCCCGCAGCGGGGCCACATTGGAGCTCCGGGGAAGCGGCCATCGGCATATTAGTCAACGGGATGGCGACCGTATCATCGGCGGAAGCAGTGATCTCTTGCGTCCGGCAGCACCATAGAAAGGATTCGCGAGCCTGTGTATAAATACAGGCCAATTCGCTCCATTTCTTCAACCGGAGGACAATCAACATCAGCCGAAGCCCAAAATCCCAGGTACCCACTTTCACAAACGAAACCAAAGCCAAAAAGTCAAAATGGTCAAGATTGCAATCGTTGGCGGCTCTAGCAGTATGTTGTCGAGTCATCTCAGGCTGAATAGGCTGACACATGAATACCAGACGTTGGATCAGAGGTCCATGATGCCTTAGTGGCCAGAGGAAAGCATGAGATCATTCTCCTTTCAAGAAAGGTTGGATCTTTTTGTCGCCCAAAAGTTCCATGTCACTTATATTTTCTAGGATGCACCCGTCCAAAAGCTCGCCCCGGGAGTTCAATGGGTCAAGACAGACTATGAGGTTGCTCATCTGACCAAGATTCTTGACGGCGTAGAGACGGTGCTTTCCTTCGTCTCTGGTCCAGCGGATCCGACGAATTCCTCTCAGAGTGACACGCAAAAGAACTTGATTGATGCTTGCATCCAAGCTGGAGTTAAGCGCTTTGCTCCCAGCGAGTGGGCTACGTAAGTTCTCAGCCACTCTAGTTGAATGTGTTCTTACGATATTGTTCTCCAGGTCCAAGTTCGATCACTTGTTCTGGTATTCTTTCAAGCAAGTAACTCGCGACTACCTCGCGGAGGTAAACAAGGAGAAGAAGGTCCGATCCGTCCCACATATCGGCTACAGGATCTTGGCTGACACGACATCAGGTTCTTGAATACAGCCTTTTCCAGCCAGGCTTGTTCACGAACTACCTGACCTACCCGTTCAGCTCTTCCAAGCATGTCACTCAACTGGAGACTCCAGTCGACTTCAATCAGTGTCGCGCACTAGTGGTCGACGGAGGCGAAGATGTTCCCCTGACCTTCACCACAGCTCAGGACCTTGCCAGAGTCGTCGCTTTGGCTGTGGAATATGGGGGAGAGTGGCCTCTTGTAGGTGGCATCAAGGGTGCCGAGATCACCATGGAACAACTGATCGCACTCGGTGAGAAGACCCGCGGTAAGTTTTTGTCCTATCAGACTCTTTGGTGACTTTCATATTCATTCCGTGATCAGGCAAGTCATTTGCTGTCGAGAAGTTGAAGAAGGAGGACCTTGAGGCTGGCAAAGTTACATCTTCGTGGACGCTTGAAGTGAAGCACCCTTCAATCCCTCCGGAAACTCGGAAGGCCGTCGCTGCCAGCCTTCTTTCTGGTATCTTGCTCGGCTTTTCGGCCGGATGCTTCAAGACCTCTTCTGAGTGGAACCAACTTCTGCCCGACTTCAAGTTCACTCAACCTGAGGAGTTTCTGTCTCAGGCCTGGAAGTCGATCGAAGCTGGAGAGGACGTCGTCTTCGATGAGTATTGAAATTTTTCAATATCTGGTCACTAGGTGAGGTCTGATTTCCTGCACCTCGCCTGGCTTTTTCATCAGTCTTGTCAATAGATACTCAGTCATAATACTTTCGCATGTTTGTATGCTGTCCGATCCTCGGACATTGCGTCTTTGTCCGCTCCGGTAGTCTTACAAATCCACTCGATCAAGGTCCATTTACGAACATCTTTGTCTGAGCTCAGAACGTTCACCATAAACAAGCTAAGAATCCAAATCTGGCAAGTTTTGTATATTTGGATCATTAGGCTCATCCCATTCCGACCCAGCCAATAATGGCGAGCAACGGCTTACTAAAGGCAGATTTTGTAGGCTTGGGCAAACGTTATGTGATTTACACCAAATGCGCGACCGGCTCCGCGTTCCAGCCCCTCAACTGCCCGTGTAGCTTATTACAAATCCAGCACATCACATCATCGCTAGTACACCGTTTCGCCATGCAGGCATGCAGAGATCAGTGTTTATAAATAAGAGCACTGCTTGATGCTCGACCTCAATTTCATGCCAAGATCTCACACCATAGACTCAAAACTCATCTATCGCAGCTCTGAAAATGGCACCAATTCGCGTCGGCATCATCGGCCTCTCCGCCAGCGCCAAAACCGCATGGGCTTCTCGCGCCCATCTCCCATACCTCCTCTCCCCTCTCGGTCGCTCCAAGTACCAAATCACAGCCCTTCTCAACTCTTCCGTAGATGCCGCCAACCGTGCAATCAAAGCATACGATCTGCCCTCGGAGACAAAAGCGTACGGCAACCCGGAGGACCTGGCTGCCGACCCAAATGTTGACCTCGTCGTCGTCTCAGTGCGAGTCGACTTGCACCACGACACGGGGCTTCCCAGCGTCAAGGCCGGCAAGGACGTCTACATTGAATGGCCACTTGCACAGGATGCGAAGCATGCTAAGGTACTCGCCGATGCTGCTAAGAATGCCGGCGGCAAGACCCTGGTTGGCATTCAAGGTCGAACAGTCCCTTTGTATCACAAGATCGGCGAGCTCTTGCGGGGGGGACGCATCGGCAAGGTCTTGAGCAGTGAGGTGAGGGCAGCAGGGGGGTTGATCGACCGCGCTGTTGTGCCAATTGACTTGAAATATTTCACCGACAAGAGCATCGGAGGGAACATCTTCACCATTGGCTTTGGTCACTGTAAGTTCCCCATGAAACTGCCTATCCCGGAATACAGTTGCTGACAGTTGTCACAGTGTTTGACCAGATCCAGCACGTCTTGGGAGATGCATCAAACTTCAAATCCCACCTTCAGATCCAGCGTCCTGACGTCAAGATCAAGGACGCTAAGACGGGAGAAATTGTCGAGACGGTCAAGTCCAATGTTCCCGATCTCGTCATCGCCGCCGGCACCCTTCCAGCATCAGACATCGTCTCCGAAGGGGCGACACTGCATCTCAGATACCGCAAAGGTCAAGCTTTCAAGGGCGATGCACCCCTTGTCTGGACCATCAACGGCGAAAACGGCGAGATCAAGTTGACCTCGAATGTGAGCACCGCGCTGCAGGCATTCGCGGACCCCAAAGATATACGGATCGAGGTGCACGACTTTGAAAAGGATGAGGTTGAGGAGGTGACCTGGGGCTGGGGCGATTGGGAGTCCGAGTTGCCTTTTCCATCAAGGAGCATCGGCGCAGTATATGAGGCGCATGCACAGGGTGAACCTAAGGATATCGCAACTTTTGAGGATGCGTTGAAGAGGCACCAACAGCTTGAGGAAATCTTCCCGCTGTCTAATTAGGGCCCGGTCTTTTTTTTTCACAACAGAGTTGAAAATTGATGAATACTCTCACGTTCTCAAGCTAAAAGTCACGAACCGGGTACGTCTCGACGCATTTGGCGAACCAAATGCTTGATGACACCGCTCACTTTTCACAATATTCACGCGGAATAGCAGCAAAATATGTGAATTGGCCGAACCAGTTTCAGTGTTCGGCTGACGCCTGTCGACGCCTCAGCGCATCTGACTCACTCGGCGGCGGCGCTAGCTGTGGCTAGGCAGTCAGCATGAACACCATAAAGGGTGATCAATTTCCTGCTGGAATTTCTCTCGTCTAAGTAAAACAAACACGTATGAACCGTTTCAAATTGCCGTTCAGAGCCATCATGGAGACTAAACCAATCTATTTCTGGCGGGAAACCGGCCATGAAGGCTATCTTTCACAATGGTGGATGGACCACCCCTTCACCTTGGAATCCCCCGACTCTTCATCAATCACTTTCAAAACAGCAGAACATTACATGATGCACGGAAAAGCCATGCTATTCAATGATCCAAAAGTCGCTCTCTCAATTCTCAAAGCGGATCATCCTAGAAAGGTCAAGGCGTTGGGACGCAAAGTTTCCGGCTTCGACGAGACTATTTGGAACGAGAACCGCGAGCGAATCGTTCGGGAGGGAAGTCTACTCAAGTTTCGAAGCAGTCCCGAGCTCAAGCAGAAGTTGCTGGCGACGGGTGAGCGTGAGCTGGTGGAGGCGAGCCCGATGGATCGCATCTGGGGTATCGGGTACAGTCCTGAGAAGGCACCGGCATCGGATCGGAGTCGATGGGGTCTGAATTTGCTCGGAAAGGTGTTGATGGAGGTTAGGGCGCAGTTGAGAGAGGAGGAGGAGGAAGGTGATCCCGAGTGGACCAAAGTGTGACTCACAGTAGGAAGGGTCATGATGACAGAAAGTCTGATGGGCGCATTCTACAAACCTAGTGATGGTATCGGAATTTACGCATGCATTGGCTGAAATCCTTCAATTATTTGACAATCTTCGTTAGAATCTTGCTATTGGGGCGGATAACTGTTATATGAAGTCTAATGGTCTATTCGATTGTACTACTCACTTCATTATCCATACTGTTCCTATCTTCCCTATCTTCCCTGTCGTCCTTATTCTTATCCCTCTCCCTGTCCGTATTGTCTTCTTTATCGTCGTCGTTATCGGCGTCGTTGTAGTTAGGAGTATCCGCCCGAATAGCAAAACTCCTTCGTTAAAGCGATAATTTCAACCCGAGAACAGAGACTTATGCGCTCCTCATAACTGGTTATCATCTCTGACTCATGTTATTATTTCATGTCTGGCTCCTTTCCAAGCCTCATACATCTTGTCATTTAGAACTACTACGCGGGACTAAGAACACAATCTAGAGCCTGAAACCGACAGAGAATATACATCGCAATAGTCTAGCAGCTGATAAAACCTAGCAATTTCTCTGCTCAGAATCTTCTAAAGCAATAGCATCATCCTTGCCACCAATGGGTCCCCTCAAACTTGCCCGTCTCACACATCTCCTCCCAAGCCCTTCTCCCGTCTGCCTCCTCCCTCGCCCCTGTCTCTCCATGTTGCTCATTCTCACACCGCATCTGCTCATGTACACAATCCAAACACAGCCCCGTTAATGACTCCCTCTTCCATTTATTCAATTTTGTCCGCATATCCTGCTTATACCACGGCAAATCGCCATGGCACCCGCCCGCGGCATCTGGGTTGTACATCTTCCGCAGCCCGCTGATCGACTCAAACGCCGACGGCAAGATCCCCACCGCCCTACACAGAGCGTCATTGATGGACATGTATTTGAACCCGGTCGCGAAGGTCTTGCGGTCCAACGCCTGTAGCCGCTGGCAGATATATTGCAGGTCGGGGGTTCCTGGCAGCGGCGGGACATAGACTCGTGAGCCGAACCAGTTGCGTTTGTATTGAAGACGTGGGCGGATGTTCCAGGGAAGGGATACCGGCTCGTATATGCGTTCATTGATGGCGGTCCAAAGGGAGAGGCGAAGGTTGTTCCTATGTCTTTCGAGGGCGTCTGGGTTTGGACATGAGTTGTCAGTCGATCGCAATGGGCCCCCATCTCAAAGTTGTTGACAGTCAAAGGAGGAGATAAGACACCAGAGAACTCACACGCAAGTCTCCAAGCAAGAACCTCCTCAGGGCCATCCCGCCCATCAACCAGCCCCTCAAACCCTCCCACCGTACTCACGACCAACAACCTCGTGAGCTCCTCAAACACCGCCTCGCATTTGAACCAATACGCAGCCAACAACATATCGCCCCTTCGGAACCCGATACACCCATCCCTCGCCGCGTTCTTGATCGCCTCCAACTTATCCGCCCTCAACCAGTGCCGCACCGCAAGGCCCATCGCTGCGGTGCAGTCGTATTTATCCGCCGCAACAGCCACCCTCAGCACCTCGTCGTCAGACAAGTCGCACACGGCGTCGTCGATGCGGCTGTGCAGCACGCGGCATATCGTCTCAATCGCCTGGGGGTCGTCTTCCGGGAGAGTGACGTGCGCTGGTGAGTCGGGCGTCGCGAAGAGCACGGCGGCGGACTCGGTGTAAGTTGAAGATGTGGGTTGCAAGAGGCACTTGAATACGGGGGAGGCATCGACGAGGATGAGGGCGTGGACGCGGATGGGGTGGGAGTTTGGGCCGACGAGGAGGATGACTTCGCCGTTGGGAGCGATTTCGGGTCGTGGTGTCGGTGGAGGGTTGGGGGTTTGATCATGGGGTTCTTTTGAGCTGGAAGTACTATCATTCATGAGATGCCTTGCTTTTCCATGGATCAATCGTAGGAAGTCACATACCATGAGCTCAGAGATGGAGCTTTGGATGGGATGCTCGTCTTGACGGAGTTGGTCTCCGAAGCTGACCCGCGTTCCATACTTGCGTCAGAAATTGATTTGGAAATGTGCACGGTGATCCAAGCTGCCAACTAAGTTGTTATATTCGAATCAGAGATTAGGAAATGGGACGCGACTGTCTTTTTTACTGAATTCCACCACGCTCAATCAGATGCATAGGACTTGAATCGCCAACCCGGCGTTTTGGTGGCGGAGGCTCCGCGGCACCCTGGCCGTAGGACTGCGCGAAGGATCAGGACCTCCCCATGGCCCCGTATAAGAAAATGAAAGAGAAATGCGGCTGCCTGACTGCTTCAATCTATCGGTTCCTGAGTCTGTGAAAGCCTAAGTCCTGCCAAGACCTCAGCTTCGAACTTGCCTGTCACACATATCATGGTGTTCGGACGTTTCTAGGACTTGGAAATATTTCAGATGAGGGCGCCACAATGAAGTACACTGGCCCATAACACCTTCATCAGTCGTGACGACACACTTAACAGAAGAGGCGCTTTGCACCGAAATTGGGGCATGAGGATATTGAAAAACGTTGTTCATCTTGAGCCGTGGACATCAGCCAGCAAATACGCCCTCACAAGCCTGACGTCAGGCATGCAGCTCAATGCCCTCCTCACCTCTTCGTCTTCGACATCGATACTATCTTTTGGTCCCGTCTTTGTCTTCGCCATAACCCATCCCCTCGCAACTTCACTCATCCAACTCCCCTCCAACCCCCTCATCCACTTCTCCCCCCTCTCTCCCACCGCCGTCGCCGTCTTCTCCCTCGCCCACCCCTCAATATCAAATTCGCAAAAGAAAGGACATCGCCAATGCTCCCCCAACGCCCCCTTAAACCTCCCAATATCCTCAGCATCCTCCAAATCCAGAATCGCAACGGTATCAACGCTGCCAAACACCCCCCTCACCACATTCGCATCCCACGCGCACCGGCTCGCCACAGTCGTGTCGAACTTGAGACTCACCCTCCTCAACTCGCCCGCCTCCTCAAACAACCTCTTGAACCACGTCGCGTCCGCCCTCGGCACAAGAACATGCCTCGCCCTGCCCACAAGCTCCCTCACACCTTTCGGATCGTCCCGCTCCAGACTAGCCCACCTCTCCAGCTCAAGCACATCCCGTCGCCCGTCGAACCAGCTCCAGCACCGCCTCTCCGCCTCGCCTTTGCCGCATGCGGTGACGGAGACCATGCCGGCCCCGTGCGCCGTCGCGACGGCCCTCCCCTCGCGGCACGCCTCCGCGACGGCGGGCGGTCTGAGTGTCGGTATGAACCCGCCCCGGCCCCGCCGCAACCGCAGCGCCCTGACGGGTATCGCGAGCTCCCAGATGCGGTGCCTGATTTCCGGCGGGAGCCGTCTGAATTGCGGGAAACTACTCGTCTCTCCTTCCGATGATGATATTGGTGACGAGTGCGCGAGGACCATCTTCTCCACGGCGTCGACGCGCCTCTCGAGAACCCTCTGCGAGCGCGCAATCTTCTCCAGCAGCTCGATCGTGCGGAGCTGCAGGTCCCGCGTCGACATGTCTGAGAGATGAGCCGAGAGCTCGTGGTAATGCGACGTTTCATACATCGCTCTCGTAAGATGTGGCTGGCTGTTCGTGGGAGATGCTGCTGCTGCTCTGCTCTTTTATCAATCTTGGTTTGAATTAGGTTGGCATTGCGAACTTCGGCGACTTGTAACTGGAACGGCGATGGAAAGAAAAAAGTTCAGCCGATCAATGAGAAACACCAACAAAAAGGAAAGGGCATGATGTTGAGATAACAGGGCGAACAGCTGAGAACGCCGAACAGCGCCCGGGAGCAGCGGGGCCCAAAAGGTATTTCACTTTCATCGCCGTGTCCCAAAAATAACAACCGCAAATGACAAAATCAAGACCAAACCCCCTCATTCCCGAAAATTCAGCCCGATGATTGTCTTGGCCTGGCCAGGGAAGAGGAGACAAAAAAGTCATCTGTTGTGTGGTCGGGTTGACTGACTGGTTGTGCGGTGACTGACGGCCGGGTTTGTCATTCTGCCACCGCATGCACGTCCTGTAACTAAGCATCTTGGTAAGCAGTAAATAATAGGTAAGGCACCGCGCACCGGCACCATCTGATTGCGCGCTGGGCCTGCGGGACCCCGCCATTGGGCCAAGTCTATTCAGGGCCGCGGCCAACGCCGCGCTGATTGGGCGCGCCGGGGACGTCCCCCTCCTCCGGGCCACACGGAAAGCCAAAGGTAAAAGGACCCAGCCCAACCCCCCTTGTTCACGGAGTCGGGGGTTAGAGGTACGGACGGTAAGGTACTTCACGAGGGGTGGAGGGGGAGCCGGAGGGGGGGAGGGGGAGGGGAAGCACCGGAGGCAATGATCTCATCCAATTGTGGGATAAAGCGTGTGGTTTACATTGGGCAAAATCAGTTCTACAGCTTGAAGTCGGCGTTGCTTTTCTCCCAGCCCTTGACCGTCTCGTCCTGATCGGCGACCTTTTCCACGAGTCTCAGCTTGAGGTTCCGGTTCCGCTCCGTGCAGAGCTCGTATGTCGTGCTCAGGTTGAAGAGGAGGGTGTGCGACGAGTAGCCGTCTCCGACCATGTCTTCGAGGGATGCGCGAGCCTGCAGGGTGATTTTCCAGTCAGCACTTTGTCAGTATGCACGATAACGTAGGAAGGGGAAAATGGGAAGGGAACAGCAAAAATGAAACTGGAAAATGGAGCTGCTGACGGACCTCTGTCAGTTTGCCCGTGTAGAGCAGACACACCGCCATGTTGACGCCAATCATCTCGTCCATGACTTGCTCCTTCAACCCCCGCCAGGACTGCAGCGCCGCCTCGTACTCGCCGTCCGCCATCTGGCACAGCGCCGCGACGACCTGCTCCGCGTGCCTGCCATCGTCGTCGCCGCCCGCGTCCTGCACGCTCCGGCGCGCCGCGTCCACGTCGCCGAGGTGCAGCCACATGAGCGCGCGCGAGAGCGCCATCTTGCCGTCGCCGCGGTCCCTCAGCGCGGCAAGATGGTGCGCCGCCCCGGCGAGGTCGTCCATCTCGATGAGCGCGCCGGCGACGCTGATCCCAAGGTCGTGGAGGCGGGCCTTCCAGAGCTCGCGGGCCGAGTTGTCGTGCCGCGTGGCCGCCTTGGCGATCTGCTCGCGGGCCTCGCGCGCGAGGTCGTGGTAGGCCATGACGGAGCGCCGGGGGTCGCCGAAGCCGAGGGCCTGCAGGCGGATGTTGAGCACGCGCAGCTCCCACGGCACGAGGTGCTCGCCGGTGGTCTCGTCGATGTAGACGCCGGCGTTAAGGTCCTCGAGGGCGCGGACCTCCTGCGCTGCGACGGAGGTGGCGTCGATGAGCGTCAGGCAGGCGAGGCGAGTGTAGAGCAGGGTGAAGATGCGCTGATGGTCTGAGGGGTCGACGCGGGGGCGCGCCGGGCCGCCGGTGCCTGTGAGCTCCTGGACGGCGGCGATGGCGGCGGCGCGGAAGTGGCCCATGGCCAGGAGGTCGTCGAGCAAGGCATCGGGGGTGGGCTGCTTTGGGGAGGTCTTGAAGGCGACAGGGATGTTGATTGGGTTGATGCTGTGGTAGATCTCGGGGCGCAGAAGGAAGCTGAAGTCCTTTGTGACGGTGGTCTTGACGGGAGGTACGGGAGAATGGAGAGGTGCTGGGGATTTGACGCCTGATACTGGGCGTTGAGTCGGTTCTTCTGATGCGCCAGCCTTTGGCGACAGGGGATCGTTGAGAGGGGTACTGAGAGGTGTCAGTACAGCCGTGGAGTATTAGATGGGATTCTCACTCGTCCAGATCTAGGGGACCCTTAGTTGAAGACCGTGGGCGAACCGCTGTGAAAAGATCAGCCAAGTAAACCAATCAATACGGCGATGAAGATATGTGTATGAGTTGACACCCATGAGATTAGAGGTGAAAATGATGTGAAATATGTCTAGGGTGGCCGCGAAGCGTTTTACAAGGTCAGACAAACTCACGTCTCGTGACTGATATGTTGCGGCCATGGCCACGATTTATCGGAGGTTGGCTCATGTTTTTCTGCCTTGACGCCTCGATGGTGTCGTGATGCAGATTTGCGTGAAGTGGCTTGATTAATCTAGCTATAAGCGCTGGGCGCGCCTAGCTATAAAGTGGTGTGGCTGATCCCTTATATAAAGGTAGGATTTAGGCTAGGGTTTAGGCTTAAGGCTTAGGCCTAGCTAACTACTATCTTATACCCCCCTTTTAGCTAATACCTCCTATACCTTATAAAGCTATTCCTATCCTAAAGTAGTAATTAGATTAATTATATAACTATTAACTTTATTCCTAGCTATCTCCCTTATACTTTCTTTTTTATATTAACTTTATTATCCTATTTCACCTCTTAAAATACTTCTAACCTCTAACCTTTAGTTATATATTAATTATAATATAAAACCCTTATTAACTTTAAAGTAACTTTAATATAAACTTAAGCTATATAGTCTAGTAGTTTAGCTACTTTTAGATTATATAGACTTAGATTAAAAGAGCTAATAACTTAATTTTAAGGTTTTAGGTTTAAATTAGGTTTATAGTAATTAGGTTTAGTTAACTTCTTAATACTAATTAAATAATATAAGTTCTATATTCTATAGTTAAGTTTAATACTTTAAAATAAGTAAAGTTTATAAATTCTTATAAGAGTTAGTTCTAAGATATATTAATATTTTATATAAACTTAATTAACTAAGATAATTATTAGAAGATATTATAAAGTTTAGTTCTCTTTTTATTTTTATTCTAACTTATATTTTTAAGATCTAATTAAAATTAGGTAAATTAAACTTAAGCTTATATTTCTTTTAGTAGTTAGTATTATTATATTTTTAATATAAATAAATATTAACTAAGATATCTAACTTAGTGATAAACTTATAACTTAGTAAAATTAAAATCTTTAATTACTTTCTAAGCTTTTATTACTAAATAATTTCTTATATAGGAGACTTTTATAGTTAGTAATTTAATTATTAAAAAGAATAAATTAAAGTAATTAAAATAATATAAAGTCTAACTATAAAA